CACCCTTTCCACTTCACCATCACGATACTGACATAGATACGAGATGAAACAACTAAAAAATTCACAAGAAAACTGTACGACCATCTTCGCGCTGACTTTGGTCTGACTTTGGTCTGAGAATTTCTATCACGATCAAAAATGTACGAGGAGCACTCAAAAATCAGCCACAGACGTACCTTTATCGCTCTCTACTCCTTTTTCAAGGCACAAAAGTCGACTCTCCACTTTCAAACCAGGAACTAGACATACCAGTGGTCCTTTTCAGCTGCTCCACGAGCGCAGGAAATGTTCACCAAGGGGCGCAGAGCCGCATCCATTCCAGAAAATAGCTAAAATACGAGTGAGACTGCATGCCTGAGTACATGAGTACATGTATGAGTACATGCAGAAAATAGTCAATTTCAGCGTTTCTGCTCCAAACAGCAACTAGCTTCGACTAGAAACAAAGATTACACCAAAGGATCAAACAACAACCATTTTCTGCAGTTGTTTTGCAGATGGCTTCCTTGTGCTTGGCCCAGCACGCCAAAAATCACACCTCGGAGGAGTACAAAAATTACAACTCTCAGATGTCCTTGATTGCTGGCCATGGCTGGTTTCTAAGAACCTCCATGGCCTGCAGTATACGGGCCTTGGCCAGAAGTTGGGCGCTGTCACTGTGGAGAGTGAAGTGGCATCGATGGTCACTCTTGCGGAAGCACGCCCACTTTCTGACAGCCATATACTGCAGGTGTGGACAGGAATGGAGGCGCCCAGAAACTCACTCCTGGTTTTGATAAATTGCCTGAAGTGGCTCTCAGTGCTATCTGTGGCGATATTGCCCACATACACCACAGCACGCTTGTTTTTGGGTCGTTCTGAGGAGACAAGCTTCCATGAGTCATCCTCAATAACATGGAAGATTGGCTTGGATTCTGTCACATCTGTCTGGGACTTGGTGGGGATGGCATCTTGGTCGCCATCCTCTTCACACTCGTCACTGCTACGGGAGATGTTGCAGGGGACTCTGCCATCCTCTTCACACTCGTCACCGCTACCGGAAATGTTGCTGGGGACGCTACGGGACATCGTGGTGTCATGCTTTCGAGTACCTGTACCGGCACTGCCTGCTTTGGTACGCCTACGCGAAGGTTGATCCGCACCCGTACCCTGCTGTGTTTGAACTGGCCTTGGGGTAGCTTTTCGCAAGGCAATGGCGGATTCACGGAGAGACACTAACTCTTCATTCACATCTTTGAGCTGCCTTGACAGCTCGTCAACCCGTTTGTTTAGGCGCGTCTCCCGATCAGCCGATTCCGAGACAAATGCGGCCAATGTTTTCAGGATTTCTACTACAGATATCTCAATGCCCGGCAACGACGCCACCAGCCTCAGCTCTTCATCACTCAGGGCAGTCGCGCGAGTGTTTGTTCTCGTGGTGGCCCCAGGCATGGCGGAGGTCACCAATTTCTACGAGCACTACTAAAAAACCTTACTGCTACCCTACGGAAACTACCTCCAGTCCGGCCTGATGCCGGCTGGGCTCTACCAAAAAAGATTTACGGGAGCTTCAAAAAGTGCAACCTACCCCTACTGAACTATTTGTAGAAAAAACCGCTGGCAAACATACGTCGCCAACCGGGTCAGGGAAATCCAGGAGGTATCCAACGGTCTCGGAATGGAGTGGCATCACTGTCCAGGCAGCGACAACCCGGTCGACCTGGCAAGTCGTGGTGTGACGCTGAAGGAGCTGCATCAATCAAGCTGGCAGCATGGTCCCAAGTGGTTGCCTGAGAAGGCCGCCTGGCCAATGCGACCGACAGTAGAGTGCACCGAAGAAGAGTCGCGACCATTGAAGGTGAATTTCGTCACCGACAGCTTGGAGCCCGAGCAGCTCTGGTGGTCGCGCTTATCGAGGTGACCACGCTTGCTGGGAGTCGCAAAGCGTCTGCTGAGCTGCCGTCCCCAGAGCCGCCCACCGTTGTCGACTCAATATCTGGAGAGACGAGCCAGGGCGCTCGAGTTCCAGAAGGTGCAGCTGGAGCTCTTCCCGGAGGAAGTCAAAGGGCTGTTGGCAGGGCAACCGGGGCTGAAGGAGTCGAAGCTCTTCCAGTACCAGCCGTTCATCGACGACGACGGCGTGATGCGAGTTGGGGGCCGGCTGGCGTCAACTGACTTGACGTACGCCGCTAAGCACCCTGTCCTGCTCGCTAAACACCACGTCGCCGAGATGTTGTTGCGCCATCTCCACCTGAAGTCGCTACATCAGGGTGTCGGGAGTGTGCTAGCTCTCGCGCAGCAGCAGTATTGGATCATTGGCGATCGACGCGCGTTGCGCAGCGTGAAGAGCAAATGCATTATCTGTCATCGGCAGGATGCGCGAGCCGTGGATGAAGTTTCCGCACTGCTACCACGAGACCGCGTGGTGCACCAGCGTCCCTTTGGATTATGCAGAGTGGATTATTCCGGCCCTCTCTATGTCAAGTATGGCGGCAAGGCATGGATCGCGCTGTTCGTGTGTGGCACCAACCGAGCTGTCCACATCGACCTGGTGCGGAGCTTGGAGAAGAAAGAGTTTCTCCTGGCGTACCGGCGGTTCTGTGCA